GGCATCCTGGCCTGTATCAGAAATAGTGTGGCCAGCAGGAGTAGGGAAGTGATCGTGCCCCTGTACTCGGCACTGGTGAGGCCGCACCTCGAATACTGTGTTCAGTTTTGGGCCCCTCACTACAAGAAGGACGTTGAGGTGCTGGAGAGTGTCCAGAGAAGGGCAATGAAGCTGGTGAAGGGTCTGGAGCACAAGTCTTATGAGGAGCAGCTGAGGGAACTGGGGTTGTTTAGCCTGGAGGAAAGGAGGCTTGGGGGAGACCTTATCGCTCTGTACAACTACCTGAAAGGAGGTTGTAGCGAGGTGGGTGTCGGTCTCTTCTTCCCAAGTAACAGGCAAGAGATAGGACAAGAGAAAACGGCCTCAAGTTGCACCAGGGGAGGTTTCGATTGGACATGAGGAAAAATTTCTTCACCGAAAGGGTTGTCAGGCATTGGAAGAGGCTGCCCAGGGAAGTGGTTGAGTCACCATCACTGGATGTATTTAGGAGATGTGTAGATGAGGTGCTTAGGGACATGGCTTAGTGGTGGACTTGGCAGTGCTAGGTTAACGGTTGGACTTGATGATCTTAAAGGTCTTTTCCAACCTAAATGATTCTGTGATTCTATGGTTCTATAACAAAGGAGACATAAACAGAGGAAAAAATCAAAAGTTGAAGATGCATATAATTTATGTAACCTTGGATGTTACGGTACAGTCTGCTCTGCTGGGAGAGGGCTGGGGCTCGCTGAGAGCCTGACTCCTGGTGGCAGTCTCAGCCCTGGGGTAGAGGAGTGGGAAGTGTCCCAGAGTCCCTGAAGTAGCCAGGTGTGTGGGTTGAGACTGAAGTAATGTCTCCCCACCAGTACCTGATACATAAACACTTGCCATATTTTGGAGCAGTAGCTGTCAAGTCTTTGGATAATGGCTGCAGAGTGGAATAGCGGTTGGACAAGTGTGACTGGGACTTGGAATATAACCTACTCATGTATATACCTAGCAGGAGAAGTATATAAATGTACCTTGGTGAAAACTGAGCTTCCACAGAAAGGCTGGTGAGTGTTGTTGGGTTTAGAATCTCAATTTTGGGCTTACATGCTTGACTGACACTTTTTGGGTCTGTGGTCCATTGCAGGCTGGCCTTACCTCTGGGCTTGCAGATTCGATTCAAAGTTGTTCCTCATGCACTGGTTTTAAAACACAGAAGTTTGGATTTGTTTTGTAATATAACACTGTATTTTCTTTTAATTTCTTCCCCATCTAGTTTAATCTCAAGACTTTGAAAATACAATACACATGGCACAGATCATAACATTTTTTCAGATGCTATTAATTCTGCTACTTCATGATTACATCTCAGCTGAAGATGGGGAGACAAGAGCAAGTAAGTCTTAATTTTTATATTTCAGATAACAGCAACCTCAAAGCATGCCTTGAATTTATAGTATCCATTTTCAGGTCACATGTACGCTTCTGTTGATGGTGATTTTTTTCCAGTATAATTTTCCTGTTGAAAATCCTATAATATATGATAAGTAACTTAAATATCTTATTTTTCCTTTAGGAAGGGAGTATCTTCATTTCTTTTTGTGTGTTGGAAATGCCCAAGGGGGCAAATGGAACTATAAAGCTCCAGTCTTGATTTAAACTTGTGTCTTGAGTATTTATATTTTCATTTCTTCAGACGTCATGTTTTGAATAGCTTAATGTTATGTGAGAAACTAAATAAGAAAAATAAAGGTTCTGTGAGAGGAAGCTGAGATAACCCCAGCTCTGGGACAGACTTTCTTGCATATTCTTCAAAAGTAGCATCTCAAACCTCACCAAACCAAGTTTTATGCTCTAAATCTGGTTTATGGAAAAGAAAAAGTTAAAGCAAGGTAGCTTTTTGAAAGACAAACTTTCCTCTGGCCACAATGATACTTTCAGGGTCGGTCTTTTTCCTCCAGTTTTACTCTCAATCCAGCAATTTTCAGTATTTTACAAGAAACTCCACAAAATTCCTTTTGGTCTCTAGAAAGACATATTTTGTTTTCAGTCTACCTGCTCTAAGCTGGGCCTGCTTTCAGCAGGGTCCAATGATGCCCAAAATCCCTTCCAACTGAAATTACTCTGTGATTCATATCCCTGGACCACAGAGTGATGCACTCTGCTTGCCCCTTGCTCCTTCTCCCAATGTCTTTTCTCTTCAGCACCATCTGCATTGCAGAAGCATCTCTCCAGCAGACTGTGGTCACTTGCTTTCAAGGAAGGTGAAATCTTGACCTGACCAGAAGTGTCCGTAGGCAGGTGTCAGGACAAGGCAAAGCCCTCCTTTCTACGGTGGAGCTGCAGCCTTTCACAAAACAGAAAGCACAGTAATACACAGCAAACCCCATGACCCCAAGTGCCATGGGATCAAAATAATCTCTCCTGGTTTCGGCCATCTCCTTGGCACCTCATGTGTCAATTATCTAAGCTCCTTTCACAGTCAATGGAATGTGATTCCCTCCTAGAGAGTTATTCCCTCCATCTGAGGATGTGCATATAAGATGGATAGGACTGTCCTGTAGAAATGCTTGTGTCAGTCTATGGCCTGTAGTTGGCAATTTAGTCTAAAAGCTCCACTTATAAGTGACTATAGCAAGGAGAGATGAATCAACACCTATGTCATCATGCAGTTACATTATATTTGTTAAATGCTTACGTGATCTTATATTCTGGAGGTTGAGCTCGTTCACTGAGCATTTTTCTTCTACTAAAATCATAATATACTACCAGCAACATTCAATCAAGACTCAGGATTTTATAATAACTAGTTCTGTAATTGCCATGTAGCAGTGTCAGAAGTCAATTAAAATGTATTTGTAAAAAGATTGGATATTACTGCTGAATTCTGGAGTACTCAGACTATAGCCTTTCTCTGCAGTGTGCTTGGTTTGCTAACAAAAATGAGTTTTTATGTTTATCATCTCTGCAGACAGATACGGAAAAATCAAAATGTATTCCTCTCTGCTGATTGCATGAAATGCAATTGCCAGCTAAGAAACTGAATTCCAGAATTCTTCATAGTAGTTTCTGGTGATAATGTGAAAACCAGAAAATGGGATGGTTTTCAGATACCAACTTGGATCTGTGTGGCTTACAGAAACAATCTTGTTTTCTCTGATGAACTCAGCTGATTTTTTTAAAAATGGAATGTATTTGTCAATATAGATTCTAATACAAACAGTAATTGATATGAAAAATATTCCCTGTGGAAGAAGAAAGTGGAAGAGTTCATTAAAATATTTGTTTGATTTTTGGGTTTTTTTTAGGTTGCAGAACCGCTCCGGCAGATTTAGTTTTTATCTTAGATGGCTCTTACAGCGTTGGCCCAGAAAACTTTGAAATAATCAAAAGCTGGCTTGTCAATATTACAAGAAATTTTGACATAGGGCCAAAGTTTATTCAAGTTGGAGTTGTCCAGTACAGCGATTACCCTGTACTTGAAATTCCCCTCGGAACTCATGAATCCACTGAGAACCTCATCAGGGAAATGGAGTCCATACACTATTTGGGAGGAAATACAAAAACAGGAAGAGCTATTCAGTTTGCCTTTGACCATCTTTTTGCAAAATCTTCAAGATTTTTAGCAAAAATAGCAGTTGTTCTCACTGATGGAAAGTCCCAAGATGAAGTCAAAGACATAGCAGCAGAAGCAAGGAAAAATAAAATCACTTTGTTTGCTATTGGTGTTGGCTCAGAAATTGAGGAGGATGAACTTAAAGCTATTGCCAACAAGCCTTCATCAACTTACGTATTTTATGTTGAAGATTATATTGCAATATCAAGAATTAAAGAAGTTATAAAGCAGAAACTTTGTGAAGGTAAGTAATTGATTATGAAATATTTCAGGTGTGCAGAATGTAGTTCTGTACCCATATTTATTTATTTCACAAGCAGAATGCATGATGAATGTAACCTAAGGCACCTGATAACCTTTACTATGATCTTCTTTCATTTTGATCTTGTTGGTGGAAATCACTCCCAAAATGTTTTTTTCTCCATTAAACAAAGAGGTATATTTGGGAAAGGTATGGTGCTTTAACACAATGTGTGTTTAATTTCAGTATGTAGCATTTTGCCCTAAGCCCCAAATTTTTTGCATTTATGAAGTTTAGAAACCCTAAAATAGTTGAGCAATTCTCATAGTGCTGAGAATATAGGGCTTACTTTACCTTTTTCCTAGGTGCGGCTGATACTCATCCACAGTCTAGCATTTCTTGACAGTTGAGAGGATAGCGTATCATTACAAACAGGAGTTCTTCCGCTAGTATGTGTTGAAAAACCCAGAAGAAAGACTCTTGGCAGAAGTGCCTGGAATTGTAACAAGATGTTATGATCTATTTTAGAAGGATTTTGTAGAAGAATTAGCCAAAACCAACATTGTAAAATGACTTTTTAGCTTTAGAATGCTAGCAGCATTTCTGCATTGAGTTTTCTGATAACTTTGTAAAACAATGGCTTTCCCATATATATAAAAAAGATAGCAAATTGCTTCTAAAATATATCACTCAGAAGGACTGTTATACAGCGAATATTTATCAGTGCTATTTTGTACATGTTTTATTACCAAGAATTGATGCAAGTCATATTTCAGTTGTACCATATTTCTGCACTTAGTAAGAATGAGGAAGAGTTTTCATTTGCTCTCACTTTGGGTATGGACTTAATTGAAAAAATATGGTGATACTTACGTTGAAGATAATAGTGTTTATTTCTTATGAATAAGAGATTTTCTCTTATGAAAATCATAATAATTCCTTGTGGCTGATGTAGTAAGGTGGTCAGTCCAAAAATTAAATCAGCTAAGTGCAGCTAAATTCTTTAACAGAACTTCACACAGGGAGAAATTCCCCAAAATAAACACAATATTTTCTTTAAATAAAGTCTAGAAGAAGTGACATTATATTTCATCAAGATGGATTTTCTGCTTTCAGAATTAAGTTAACTAGTGTCCTTTAAATTTCAGCTGTGATATTTGACATGACTCTTGGAGCAGTAATCTGCAAATGTTGACTATGTGTACAAAAGTGTACTTACTGTTTTGCTTTAAGTGACCCTTTGCTTCCATGCTCTTACGTTGCGGTCTTCGCTCGCGTTAGCATTGAGATGCCTCTCTCAGTGGGTGATCAGAGCCAGTTGGCAGCTTCATTTCTAACTGCTATGTCTTTAGCAGGTGAACTGAAAGACTAGTAAACTGGAAATTTTATATCTGAGTGGTGGATTATTTTATTCATGTTGTTAAGACTCATTTTGACTCTGGGAGAGGAAGTTCCATGAGGGCAAAGCAGCAATGATTTGGCTGTGATCAACCACATGAAACTGCCTGAAAATTTTGCAATTCTCTCTTGATTGTCTTTGTTTTAATGTCTAAAAAAATGCTAGCCTTTACTCTGTGGTGTTTTTAACTTTGTTATTACGTGAACCATAGATATAAGAGCATAGGGGCAGTATTTCCTTTCTGGAAAAAAGAGGCTGAGGTTTGGTGGTTCGTGTAGCAAGTAAGTGCTATTATGAATGGCCTTGTGGATGGAGGGCTCTTGTGTGCCTTTTGGGAACTCTTAGTGTTCATTTTAGAGTA